TTCCACAATTTTCAGGGTACGCGCCGCGACGATCATGGTACGCGACTATACCATGTGACTTTTCCCGGGCTAACAATGGCGAGGCATTTGTTGTTTGACCAAGGTCTGTATTAACTTTACTTCATTTTTTATAGATTATTTTTATTAGATTACTTGAAATAAGTTAACACATGAATACAACAAATATATAAAAATAAATTAAAGTATTATAACGCAAAAATTTACTTTCTCAGTCACATTCGTGGTCATAGAATCAAATCTAGCAATACTCCAGCGTGTATCGATCGTTAGTATCGCCGTTCGTTACATAATACTCGGCACAGGTCTCTCATTACTCATATACCCTTCTATTGCGCCGTTTCAATCTTCCTGAGCCACACCTCGCGATACCTGATGCAGGAACGCAAAAATAACAATTTATTATTAATTGTATTATCTCGGAATACCAAACGCGATAAGTGATATACTGTATGTATAATTTTTCATCAATAGTAACCAACTGATAAATTGTATTGTACCAATCGTTAGTATAGTACCAGGTCATTTAATTATCTACAATTCACACGATGGTCCAGAAAATTTCGATGGATCCTGATAGAAACAAAAGTTTGTTTTAGTAATCCCTCCACATAGACATGATTTCTCAATCTCTTAGTTTCCGGCGGGAAAATTGTTCTACAAGAAGGCATAAACAATTGGTCATTTTTCTACAAATAGTGGTTTTAGAATTCATACAACGTATGTAATTTCAATTATTTTTATGATATTTGATTTTTTCTTCGCCAAAGTCAAACAGTTCTTTTCTTCTTAATTTTACATGATAGAAATGTTGAACTATACAGTAATCGGACCACTATGAGAGAAGATAATATACAGTATATACAGTAATTTGTGTATTCAATTTGAATTACTCACAAAGGAGGGGATTTCTGGTTTCTGTAATAATTTTTCATTGGAAGTCACTGGTCGATATTTGCAAATAAGTTTTAACTTGGGTTACTTGCCTGAGATTAACTTTTCTGGAGAGATAAGAACCGTTTTTGTGAAGAAAATAAAATCAGAGGTTATGACTTAAATTTTATTTTGACCACAAACGATTAACAATATGTTGTCACCAGCGAGTCCATTGCTAACCTGAACCAGTTCTTCGAGTGACAATAAACAGAAAACTCGGTTAACTTAGCTAAATTTAGGTATGGTTTTAATCATAGCTTCTAGAACCCTTAATACTTACTGCTGGCTTCCAAGTGTTTTTACAACCTAAAAGGTATCACTGATTTTGGGATTAAAGTTTGTTTATCATAGAACCTCCTAACTCTATTTAATCCCATTACGTCATGCGCGTTACTGTGTCGCGTACTCGTCCCAGTCAGAAGATTTCTTGGGAAGAAATAATTATTCGAAAATCATTTGACATCAGACGTTAGATATCTCATAGGACAATAAATTTTAAAAATAAACATGTATTTAATAATTTTATTTAATCTTTATCTACCGCATGTATTGCGATATATCAAATTTTAACTGTGTACATATTATGTAACCATTATTAAATAAATGTTTATTATTATCTATTAAAATATAAAATGATTTTTTTAAATTGCGAAGTCAAAAGAACATAAGGAAATAATTTCCTAATTTTTACTCCGAACTAGGGTTCATTGTCCGGCTGGCGAACACAAACCGATTCTATCCATCTTTAATTTTTTTCACGTGGGGATGGATTTAAGTCTTTGTGGTAAATTATTATGTGATGATACATTAATCTTAGTTGTCACCACCTTCGCCTTCGGAAGCTTCAGTCTCCTTGGCGCCTTCATCACTAGTAGGTTCTTCGGTGTTTTCGGGAGTAGGTTCTTCGGTGTTTTCGGGAGCAGGTTCTTCGGTGTTTTCGGGAGCTTGAGTCTCCTCGGAGCCTTCTTCACTGGCACTCTCTTCTTTGTTTTCGGGAGTTTCACTCTCCTCGGGACCTTCATCGCTAGTAGGAGTTTCAGATTCTTCGGGAGCTTCAGTCTCCTCGGTGCCTTCATTGCTAGCAGACTCTTCTTTGTTTTCGGGAGTTTCACTCTCCTCGGGGCCTTCATCACTAGTAGGAGTTTCAGATTCTTCGGGAGCTTCAGTCTCCTCGGTGCCTTCATCGTTAGCAGTCTCTTCTTTGTTTTCGGGAGTTTCACTCTCCTCGGTGTCTTCATCGCTAGTAGGAGTTTCAGATTCGCTGGGAACTATTTCACTTTCAGTGTCGGCGACATCACCTTCGTCTTCGTGATCTTCTTTGTTTTCAGGATCCTCTTTGTTTTCGTGACCTTCTTCGTTTTCGTGACCTTCTTCGGCCTCTGGGGTAGTTTCTTCAGATTCGCATGGGGTAGAAGTTGGATCATTGCCATAGTCATCTTCCTCATGGTGATGATGGCGGTGTTCATAATCGTCATCGTCATCTTCATGATGATGATAGCCGAATTTTCCGTAGTGGTCGTCGTCATCGTTGTCATCGTTGTCAGCAACCTCAGTTGGGTCATCACATGGAGTTGAAGTCACATTTACAGAGTCGTCATCGTCATCGTCATCGTCATCGTCACCGTGATGATGTCGGTGGTGGCGGTGGTGGCCGTACCATCCGTCGTGGTCTTCATCGTCGTCATCGTTATCAGCAACGTCAGTTGGGTCAGCATTTGGGTAATCATCCTCACCGTGGTGGTGGCCGTGGTGGTGGCCGTACCATCCGTCGTAGTCGTTGTCGTCATCGTCATCAGCAACATCAGTTGGGTCAGCATTTGGATAATCATCCTCATCATCCTCACCGTGGTGGTGGTGGTGGCGGTGGTGGCCGTACCATCCGTCGTGGTCGTCGTCATCGTCATCGTCAGCAACTTCAGTTGGGTCATCGCACGGAGTAGAAGTGACAGTCACAATGTAGTCATCATCATCATCATCATCATCATCATCATCCTCACCATGGTGGTGGTGGTGGTGATGGTGATACTTTCCGTCGTCATCGTCATCGTCAGCAACTTCGGTTGGGTCCTCGCACGGAGTTGATGAGACAATTACAGTTGGGTCCTCGCACGGAGTTGATGAAACAATTACAGTTGGGTCCTCGCACGGAGTTGATGAAACAATTACAGTTGGGTCCTCGCACGGAGTTGATGAGACAATTACAGCGGAAGAAGGATAAACATCATCATCGTCACAGTCATCATCATCATAGTAATAATCATCGTCATCATCATAGTAGTCATCGTCATCATCATAGTAGTCATCGTCATCGTAATAATCGTAGTCGTCATCATCATAGACTGGATCGTGAGATGGAACCACGGTTTCGGAAGGATATACACTATTGGTTGAAACTACTACAACGGTTTTGGGATCGACATCACTATCATGGTGGTGATACTTCTTATGACACTTCTTCCAAAGACACTTCCTGAAGCAGTGTCTGTTCTTAATGCATCGTCGATGACATCTCCTCCACCATCTTCTGAGACAGTGCTTCCTTAAATGATAATGGAGCTTCTTTGATTTTTCGGTTGGGATGGTTTTGTTGTCATCATCATCGCACGGAGTTTCAGTTGGGTCTATAGTCACGGTTTTGTTGTCATCATCATCGCACGGAGTTTCAGTTGGGTCTATAGTCACGGTTTTGTCATCGTCGTCGCATGGAGTTTCGGCTACGTCATCGTCATCATCAACATCGGTTGGATCAGTTGGGTAATCGTCATCATCTTCCTCACCATGGTGATGACGGTGATGACGGTGATGGTGATAGTAGTCGTCGTCGTCGTCGTCGTCGTCGTCAACAGCAGTTGGACTTACAGTGACGGTGTCGTCATCATCATCGCAAGGAGTTTCAGCTACGTCGTCGTCATCGTTATCTGGATCGGCTGGGTAGTCGTCATCATCTTCCTCACCATGGCGGTGATGTCGATGATGGTGATGACGGTATTTTCCGTAGCCGTAGTCGTCGTCGTCAACATCGGTTGGGGTTGGATCATCCGTGCATGGGGTTAAAGTTTCAGTGTCGTCGGCGTCGGCATCGTCATCTT